GGTCAAGCAATCTGGTCCCCAGGACTTAGAAGAAGTCTCCAAGATTGGAAAGCTGAGAAGCTGCTAGCACTCATGGGTGAGAAAAACCAGGTAAGATTGCATGAAAAAAACCAGGATAGAAGGTGGTTATTTTCTGATAACTCTGGATTGTTCTCTGTCACATCTTTCTACAAGGTCTTGCCTGCACAACATAAAGAAAGCCCCTGGAAATGGATATGGAGAGTTGGTGTCCCATCCAAAGTTTGCTTCTTCTTATGGACAGCAATTCTGAATAGAATTCTAACCATTGATCATCTACTGTCAAAAGGATTGGTACTGGAGAATAACTGCTGCTTATGAGAAAGGAAGAATATGTACATCATTTGCTGATTCTTTGGAATACAGCATAAGGTCCCATTTTCTCAAGCTATTTAGGATTAGGAATCATTGGTTTGTCCCTAAGGATCTTACAACCCGCTTCTCTACCTGGACATTAAAAGAATTGACCAAAAAGGGGGAGAATCCTATAGAAGCCGACACCAGCAGCCATTTGTTGGCCAATTTGTCTAGAACATAACGAAAGGATATTCTGGGATAAGGATTTTGTATTATGAAAATTCTGTAAATAATACTTTTTAGTATACATTGTGATGAACTAGCACTGTAAACATCTCATGGCTGAGGGACCCTCTCCTTCCTTTAAATACAAATTTATTCTTACCTTGAGAGAGAGAGAAAGAGAGGTGTTGGAGATGTATGACTGATGCACAGCAAAGACATACAAACACTTTATGCAGGAGGTACATGTCCCATGTGCCTTTGCCTTTAGAATAGTCTTTATAATAATAAATCAAAGGGAGGAACCATTTTAACGTGTTTCCCATTATATATTAACATAATATAGATGATGAAAACCCCCAAATTTGTTAATTATAATATTATAACAAAAATTCGATAAATAGAAGTGGGGGCTTTGATTTATTTTAATGCATTACAATCATTTAAATATTAAATGGCACAATTGTTTATGATAATATTATGCAATTTATGTGGATTACTGATTCTGAAATCTTGATTTGCAACTCTGTAAGCTATATATTGAATTATTGATGACTGATGATCCTTACATAATAACATATGAAGATACCACATGAGATGATACTTCAATTCCATATTTAAATGTGATGGTTTTGTTATTAAAGGTTAAAAAGAAAAATAACTTCTCATAAATTTTCCTAGTTTCATGGGATATTACTATTTTTTTTATCAATAACAACAGATTTCATTAAATAGGAATAAACTTACAAAAAAGAGGAGCTAAAGTATCTTTACTCTCCAGAAATTGGGTAGGCACCCAAACTGAAAATAACAAACAACTACAACTGAGCCCAGAACCCAGAAACCCTATTCACTCCTTGCCTAGCCAATCCATCAGCAAAGGAGTTTGCATTTCTCTTTATCCAAGTACATTGAACTTCCATATTCTTGATCAGCCATTTGAATTTTCTCATTTCATTACTGGAGCTCCAAAGCTTAGAATTGTCTTCTTTTAGCCAATTCACTACAACCATAGAATCTCCCTCTATAATCGGCTTCTTGACATTTATGTCTTTAGCCCTTTGTACCCCTTCCAAAGCTGCTAACACCTCAGCCCTCAAAGAGTCTCCCACTCCAATTGGGCTAGAGAACATAGCTATTACATTACCATTCTCATCTCTTAATACCCCCCCAATACCCGAGGGCCCTGGATTCCCCAATGCTATTACCATCAAAATTTAGTTTGATAAAACCAGGAGATGGAGGGTTTCACATAGGATTCAAGGTCTTCTTAATCAAGATTGAACTTGCAATTTCTTCCCATTTTCTTAACATATCATCTGTTGAAAAATCTGTGAAATCATCCATTGTTTTCAACCAGTGTATTACCCTTATATGGATCACTTCTAGCACATTTTCCATCTCTCTCTCAATTTCTGATAAAATTCTTGAATTCCTTTCTTTTTTTTGGATCAATAACAGAAACTTTATTAATTAAGAGAAATCCTTGAATTCCTTTCTTCCCATACTGTCCAACAAACAGCAGCTCTCACACATCTCCACATGATCCTTGATCTTTTTATTGGGAAGTTAACAGAGGGAGAGGTAAACAAGCTTTGCACATTCGATGGGGAGATCCACCTGCACCCAAACAAAGAAGCAAACCATTCCCAAATATTTTTTGCTAAAACACAGGATATTAGTAAGTGGTAACCAGACTCACCAGCAGCTCTACAAAGAACACACAAGTATGGAGATAAACAACTATTGGGTCTTTTTCTTTGAAGTAAATCACCGGTGTTAACTCTTTCCAGAAAAGCTTCCCAACAAAAACTCCCAACCCTCGGAGGTATAGGTTGACACCACACTTCCTTGACAAGGAATGACAAGCCAATAAGACTTTCCGGTTGTACTAGGGCTTTAAAGAAGGAGGCACAAGTAAAGGACCCAAAAGGAGTCAAAGTCCAAATCCTACTATCTGTTTTTGTCGGCTCCAAATAAACCCCATCAAGAATGGACAGAAGAGTTGAGGTACTATCCAATTTTGTGTTCCAGAGCGCTCTTCTCAAACCCAAGTTCCAC